AAGCTAGATAGGTCACGAGATGTTGACGTCGGGGTCATGGATTTTGACAGCAGGTGATGGATTAGGGCATCTCCAATGGAACGACAAACAACCGTTTGCCATTCTTTTGTCGCTCCAACCGAGCGACAATTTTGATGCTATTTCATCGCAGGTGAACAGTGCACGCCAATATTGACGTCGCACTGTTCACCCGCCATTTTTTTTTTAATTTGAAAATTATATAAAATGAAGTATGAGAAAGAATTTAGGAATATTCTTTTTTTGGTGTTAGAACATAGAGTTCGGTTGGAGACAAGTTACTGCATTTTGGTTTATTATTGCATTTTGGAGTGAAAAATGAGTTTTTTCGTTTGGAGATTCCCTTAGATGGGGCTATGGGATCTTGGGTGAAGATCGGGGTTGGAGGGATCAGTCGTTTGCAGGAACCTAGAGTCCAATCATGAGATTTACAGGAAGAGGTTTAGATGGAGGATCCGCCGGCTTATGGGTTTTGTGTGCGGAATTGACCTGATTCAATGAAGTAGGGAGGTTGATGAGTGTAAATAATGTTATCTTTTATATGTTAAATTGCAGTGAAACCCTATTGTTCTAATTGTGTTGTGCAGGAAAAATAGAGGAAATGCATGAAATTTCAAGTATCATACAACGCCGCAGCGTCGGACACTATATCGTCGTGACACCATTATTAACACTACTGGAGTGCCCAATATAAACATGGCGATGCTCAGTCTCTGTTTGACAGCGCCGGGACACCGATTTCAAGCGCTGCCAAGCTGATGGGACTGTCGCGTGGACGCCACAATGCTCAATCGTCAGCAGCGCTGCACCCCTACAGTTGTTACCGACGAGGACACAATTTTCCACTTAAGAGACACGTCGATTCATTAAACAACGGGTCCTCGTTAGCAAACGCCGCAGAGGAGAAAATTCTGCAGCACTGCGGTGTTCATTTTATGGGCATCGCGATGCAAGTGTCTAGAGCGCCGTGATGCCAGAGTCCATTTTCTGTGTAAATAGTCTATTTGTAATGTTATTGAGGGAGTTCAGTCACTTAGTTTCAGTCTTCATAGTAGCATCTCTGCAGTTTTCTTAGGAGTGATAACTAAGGGAATTCAGGAAAAACTAGATCCACTTCATAGGAGTATTTGGTCAATGTTTGTGGAAGCAATTTTGTAAGTTTAAGGAGGAGTGTAGAGGGGATCATTGAACCCATTATGTGATATCTTTTCTTTTGTATTTTCTTTCTTTTGTGTAATTAATAAAAATGAGTTTGCTTCACTTATTCTTCATATCTGGTTAAATTGTAAATGGAATGTGGAGTACTATTAAATTCTTTTTATCAATAATTTAATGATGTTTTCAATATACCATATCTTCATTTAATGCACAAAGTGGTCATATGTATAATTAATATCAGGTATAATGTGGAGCCTAGAAATAGAAAAACAGGCACAACCATGTATATTGGATTAGTATGATGCAAGTATGGGCATAGTGCTTAACATATTTCAAATTTATAAAGGTGAATTATAATGAGGGGGTTTTAACTGTACATGTTTTACTTATTCTTCTAAGATTTTCATAGGGTGACAAACTATGGGAGTCTAGAGTGGTATTGAGGTTGTAAGGTTTAATCTATCATTTGTCTCTTCATGCTTGAATGAGCGGTTGGTGATGCATATGCTATGAGCATCATCAATATAAAAGAGAATCATTAGGAAACATATTGAATTTATATTGCATCAATCCAAACATTTTATCCAAGTAGTGTTTCATTTAATTTTTTTTCTGATCTTAAATTAAGTAATTGAATCTCCACCAAAACTTATTTTTATTGAGTATGACAATTTTTGTAATTGTAGCAGACAGTACTAGTATTTACAAGTAAATATTCTTCCTCGTGATATCGATACTCTATATTACTTGATTCAGCACGTATACTTGCTTATATTAAATAGGGTTTTAATAATTTTTATATCAAAGAAAACCTAAGCATTATTTAGGGATTGATAGATCCCTAAATTATTTTCACATTTCTTTAGATTACTCCACCACCCTTATCAGAGGTCTTGACGTCGACAGTCGCAAGCTGTGGAGATCGGTCCAGATGTGAGGTCGGGATTAGAAGATATGGAAAAAGATCTCGGGTCTGTAGCTTGTGAGTGGAGAACAGAAATGAGTCTTCATTTCGTCGTCATTTTATTAACGCAAACAGAGGTGTGATTGAGAGCGGGATCTTCGCAAGCAGGAGAAGGGACAGTTCGGCGTTTGTAGGGGATGGGGCACTATAGACGGCTGGATTTGAGTAAGATGTGTGCAGGAATTTTGCAGGTATGTATATATTTTTTTTATTTGATTTTTTTTTTTTTTTTTTTTTGAGTAGAGGTCAACAAGATTCAAAACCAGGGAAAGCACCTATTTTTAGAGCCCCTTGCTGAATGAAGAAGATTGAGCTTTTGGGTTTGAATGAAAAGCTAAAAGACCTATTTAAAAAAGGATTCATTCACCCTAATCTTTTCCCTTAAAGAGAACTTATCAAGGAGGAAGATGTCATCATGTGGCTGCATATTGATTATCAAGACTTTAATAAAGCAACTATCAAGAGTAGAAATATATAGCCAGGGATTGGTGATATCTTTAGTCAACTAGAAGGCATCATGATGTTTTCTAAGATAAATTTGAGATCGGGCTACTATTAGTTGAAGATCAAGGGGAAAGATGTGATGGCTAGGACTTTTGTATGGATTATGGCCATTATGAATTGCTCTTGATGTGGCTCAAACTTACTACGCCTTACCTCTAATAGTTCATTATAACATTTATTGATGACATTCTTGTCTAGTTGAAGGACTCAGACGAACATTTGCAATATCTCATGACCTTTCAAAACCTCTTAGAATGTCGACTATATCGTAAAATTTTTACTTACAGTTTATGGCTGGATAATGTCTCTGTCTAAGCCAGAATTAGCGCGAATAATCACAGCCTAGTTTCCACCAGCCAACATGATGGAAGTGCCTCACTTTTTGGGGTTGGCTGGTTGCTATTGAAGGTTTATTCCAATTTTTCACCAGTGGTGATTCTATTTTCTTTATTTTCAAGTTCGAGTTGATCTACAAGTGTGAGCAAAGCTTCAATTTGGTAAAGGAGTAAATAGAAACATGACTCAACTTCGGTATATCACATTCTGCCTTCAAATGGATGATCAATATTAGTAGGCATTCGAAACCGTGGACTTGCATAGGCTATGCATCCATGACTATAGTAGATTAGGAGTAACATATACCACTGATTGAGTTTGCTTATAATAATAATCACATGCCAACATTAAATGGAGCAATGAAGCTTTTTGCGGGATTAGTGGCATGTCTCAATTGTGTTGGGTCGAGTTGGGTAGCGAATAATCACTAGCTAACAACTAATCAACAAAACTACCAAGAAAATTAAGAATTTTTGAGAAAGGCCCCAAGCCATTCAAGACTTATAATATAAACACCATGATCATCGTCTTCGAGATATTTACTTCAAAGTTGGAGACCAATCATTTATCATGTCAACTCCATGAAAGGGGGCCAGAGATTTAACTAAGGAAAATTGAAGCTGGTACCTAGGATGATCTGAGTTTTTGACATAAGTAGGATTGATCACCTATTGATTGTCCTTGCCACCTCAATTACTTGGATTACACAACATTCTTCACAATTCCATGCACATAACACAATTCCATGCACATATGTTATATAATTGACTTGAATCATGTATTGATGTAACTAGATGACACATATTTATCTCATCATGTGCTACGAAGATCTACATTTCTAGAGCAAGACAATCTTGATGAGCAAAGTTTTGTGATGAATAGACTAGTTAGGAAGTAATATAGGAGATTGAAGCAGACTTGAAGAATTATGCCTCTCGTTTGTTCAAGACAAAAGGCTGACTTGATAAATAAGTGGGAATAATTGGTCCATTTGAGTTACAGAATGAATAGGTCTTACAGGACTTGGTGCGTCGCCAACTGAGTTGAGATATGCCAGTCAAGTTTGAAACAACAACTTCTTTTGTTAGGTCCTTTCAGCCACTACTAGGAGAGTCTTTACCTCACTTGCTAGCGGCGCAATTTGAAGATGTTTATAGCAGTAAGTGGAGTGATCCTTAAGACTTTGATACTTGTCCTAATAGCTAGATATATATATTTTTTTCACAATCTAGCATTCCATCGAATGCCAAGTCTGATCGACTCTTGATCTTTTCCTTGCTCTCCTAGATAAAACTCGGTGCTCTATTGACCATGGTTAATGTTCAATTTTATGGATTAAGAGAGTTTTATGAGCTGATGCCTTGGTGAATCCAAGTGAGGAGACCTCCAATAGACCGCATGACAACGGCACAAGAAAATTGACGCCAATGTTTTGATTACTATTACATGTGAATTTGAACATATTTTTTTGGGTACTTTTCTTATGAGCTTTATGGAGATTTCCTAATCTTCCTTTATGTGTGATGATGATTAGATTTCCGACAGGGAATTGTGATTCTAGGTATATCCACCATACTTTTATGCAGTTTTTCCATTAGCTAGGTACATAAACTAATGGAAGATACCTTTGTTGAAAGCTAAAGAAGATTTAGGCTTCGTTTGGGAGTCTGGGACGGCTTTCTTATTGCTTTTTAAAACAGCTTTCTAGTATAAGAAAGCTGCTTTAAGAAGCAGTAAAAAAGCCATCCCAAATGAAGCCTTAAAAAGAAATAAATGAATTCTACATGTTGAATTGGCAACTTAGTTGCGTCCAGTATTTATGATCAAGTGAAAAGCAAATGAATTATTTCCATGAAACAGTAATACATGCCTTTGCTTTTAAGCTGATTACCTTCTATGACTTGTAGAACTTATTTGTTCATTTAATTTTATACATCCACTTTTTTTTCATATTTTTGGTTAGATAAATTACTACAAAAAGTATCATCTTTTGTATTGATTCTGACCTGAATATTCTTAGATGATTGGTAAGGCTCTTCTACCAACACAAAGTAGATCACAAGCCAGTCTACCAGCTCCAGCAGAGGTAACTCAAGTGGAATCTTCTGTTGCTAATCCAGAACAGAAGGTTGAAACAGAACCAGCTCGAGAAGTCAATTCAGTTCCCAAAGCTGAACTTAGTGAAACTGGCAGGCCAACATATCTTTCACCTTATCCATCTGTAGCTCTCTCTCCTTTCGATTAGATTATATTTTTGACTATTTTAGTTCTTATCTCACAATTTAGTAGAATTAATGTTACAAGAAATGCATCTTGTTTTTGACATCTTTTGCTCACACATTGAAAAAAAAAAAGAAAAGAAAACTGAAGCAAGAATTATTTATCAAAAGAGTACATAATCAAAACAGTCCATAGATTCTTTTTAATTTCCATTTTTATTTATAAAATTTTTTAAGGGTTCAATTTAGTCTCTCAACTCATCAAATTTGGATTGTCAGTTCTTTGGATAGAAATTGATGGATGAGAAAATTTTAATCTTTTTGGAATCAATCTCATTAGTTTGAGTTGATATTAAGTAGTGTTGTTGATACTAAAAAGTTCAAAACGGCCTCATGGATCATGGAGGAGAAATTATTTTGTGTGGATGCCGAATGCAGCTCTACATCCAAAGACTAACCAGAATGAGCCATGTCAACAATACCGAGCGCCGTACCGAGTTGCGGCACCGAGTGGTACCGACATGACTCATTCTGGTTGATCTCCAGATGGCGTTTGACATCCACAGAAAATAATCTCTCCTCATGAAGAGCTTCTCTCCGTCAATTTTCATCCAAAGTAATGGCTAAATTGACTAAATTGATTGAGTCGAGGGATTAAAATGATCACTTAGAATAATCTATGATTAAAATAGACATAACTAAAAGCTTTAGAGATCATTATGATCATTTACTCTATAAAGTAAATACCATCACTGACAGCTTTTAGTTTTTTTTGCAGTATCCAGACTACAAACCCCCATCTTCACCTTCTCCTTCCAAGCCCTAGATGCTTAGTTCATTCAAATCAATACTCTGAGGTTTCCTGGTGCACTTTTCTTTCATAGTTAGAAGACATCAAGCTCTTTTTTTTGTTAATGGATATTTAGTTTTCAAGCTGCAATTATTCAGTGTCAAATGATTTTTCTGGAAATGCAGTGTTAAAGCCATCTTTGTTGTTTGAATCTGGGTTACAGCACAACTGGACATGAGTGTTTGTTTTCAATTATGTATGGCACATTTTCCCCACTTTCTTTCTTGTATTTGCTCTCAAATCCATCTGAATTGTATTTTTTTTCCCACCAATAAGCTATAAAATACATTCATATCCTGCAGAGATGCAGATTCTCACTGCTACAATTCTTCTGCTTTTGAATGCTTAAGGTTTTGTTTGAGACAGCTTTCTTCTTGCTTCTTAAAGCAACTTTTAAGTAAAAAAATTAAAAATTTTGTATTAAAAAGTTACTTTAAGAAGCAGTAAGAAAGCCGTCCCGAACGAAGCCTAAATCTTAAAGAAAGAGCAGGTTTCATAGGAGATGGAATCATTTATTAGTGTTGATTGAATATTTCTTCGCATAAGATTTGTAGGTACTTTGCTCATGGCTATGGCCAAAGAGGTGAATACTTAGATTTATCTACTAGTTTTGGTACCATTTGATTTATAAAATAATAGCTCATAGATATATTTTATAGTTATATCAAGAAAGTCAATAGTCTTGGTAGATAGCCTACTATTCATTTTGATTGATACAATAACCTCACTAATGCTTTATTTATGGCATATCTATAGACACATCATGGAGTTTGTGGTTTCATTTGGGACGGTTTTTTACCATCTTTTAAAGCTGCTTTTTAATACAAAATTTTTAGTTCAAAAATTTTTTGTTCTAAAAAGTTGTTTTAGAAAGTAATAAAAAAGTTGCAACTTACGTCACGAGAAAGTTGAAATTGACAACTATCATGATGTATGTAACTTTGGTTGTGTTCTTCTACTAATATTTTGTAAAAATTGTAAGGAATAACTCAATTGTTGATTATTTACAAAACATTCTAATTTCATTAAGGAAAATAAGGCGTTTTCACAAGGTGAATTTATTATGTGCGGAGTCCGGATGAGAAGAATCGTTCAGACTGTGAGTGTACACACTGTATACACACAGAGTGATATTGATTTGATATATACTATGTATAAATATGTATATAGTGTGTACACTCATATGTCGGGATAATTTTTTCGATTCGGACTCCACACAGAGCAATTTCTCTTTTCACGAGACCAACCAAGTCCACCTTCATCTTCCTTGGAAGTACCCAATTCCTTCGTGGAAGTAACCTCTCTTTTGCTACTTTGACTTCATCATATAACAGTTTCTACACAGAAATCATTTCATAGGCATAAATGAGCTAAAGCCTCTCTATAAACTAGCAAGAATTCAAGACCTCTTCCCTTCGAGGAAATTTTTGGAAGCCTAAAGTGGCCGTGTGTTAACAGGCCACCTCATTAGTAGAGAAGACTAATCATTGACTGTAATTATTGATTATATCTTAATCTTCTTTTTAATGATAGATTAATTATATCATAAAAGATATAGTTCACACTCTAAAATATTGATTTATAGTCGTGTAAACAGGTAGAAATGCCAATGTTCATTAACCTGAAATCCTAATGATAAACAAAAGTTAGCATACATGATAATTATTAGGTGTGTCAATAGATGACCCGATTTAAAAAATTCAGGTTCGGATTAATTTGTTTATTATCGGTATGAGTTTGGGTTAGATCTTTTGATTCATTTATTAAATGAGCCGTGATTAGGTTGTCCTGTGAACCCGTTTTGACTTGAAAATAATTTGTTTAATATATTTTTCTTTTCTTTTTTTTACTTATGGGTTTACTTTTCTTTGATAAAAAATTCTAAATTTTATATTTAATAAGATATAAATTTTTTTAAAGTCAAAACAAGTTAATGGGTTGTATTCAAGTTGATTGGATTCAAGTTGGACCTGAATTCAACCCATCAACTCGTTTCACACCCCTAATAATTATGCTAGGTGTACATATAATAAAATATTCCCAAATTAACATTACAAAGTTGTGATTTATTATTTTTTTTTTTAAAGTTGTGGTATTTCACAATTTTTTAAAATTTAGGGTTAATTTAGAATTGTGTTCTTTAATTGACTAAATTTAAAAATTTTGAAGCTTAAACTTCAAAAATATGTTAAATATAATTATATTATTTTAAGGCAAAATAAGTGCAAAAGAAATTATTAATTTAAGGTCTAAGTTTAATTTTATTGATGGAAATATATTATTTCATGATATTCTGATACATTGTGGATTAGGATAAGGATATATTTTTTTTATACGTATCCTTAATTTTATGTGCCACATATTATAGCTTAGTACAAATAAACTATAAGGCAATGCAACAAAATTAAAGAAATATATAACTAAACTATTGGGAATTATTAAATACAATCATTACAGAAAAAAAAGTGCAAAATTCTATTATTTAAATCATATTTTCTAATAATTTAATTATATTTATCTTATATTTTTTAAATAATTTAATATTTTAATTATATTGAGAGATAATATATGATCACACATAATTATAACTATCTTATTTTCTTTTACTTTCAAATATTTAAAGATTATCTATAAATAAAAAATCTTAATTATTATTTTGGATAATTTAGATGTAGCTAATTTTAATAATTTATATTATATTAAATAATTTTAATATCATGAGATTAATTACTATTGATATATCATCAAAAATTTATCTTGATTGGACACAAATCTCGAGACAAAATTAAGTTGAAATTTTCTAAAATTAAATTCGAGGCCATCCGAACTCCGATTTCAACAAACTTATAGTCGAATTAAACGTCTCAAAAAGACGAACCCAACGACACCAAATACGACACAGAGCGAGTCTGAATGGGCCCAAATTGAAGACACGAAGTGCATTTGAAAGGTTCAAACTATAAATTGGATGATCAAATGATTTTTAAATGTGACATGCTTATAATCAAATCTTGTGGCTTGACGAGACAAATCCAACGAGCCCAAGATCGTGAATTTTGACATCATTAAGGCACTCAAATACTTGATAAATGGTCTATAATCAAGGGAGTCAATATCGGCTGTCCATTCAAAATACTCCCAACATGCCCTTGATATTCTCACTATTTACTGACCATGCCACTCCCAAAAAATTATAAATAGACCTCTCATTCTTTATTGAAGGGAAACTAAGCAAGGAAATAAAGACGGGAAAAGAGAAAGAAGGAAGAGTCATTAAGGCACTCAAATACTTGATAAATGGTCTATAATCAAGGGAGTCAATATCGGCCGTCCATTCAAAATACTCCCAACATGCCCTTGATATTCTCACTATTTACTGACCATGCCACTCCAAAAAAACTATAAATAGACCTCTCATTCTTTATTGAGGGGAGACCAAGCAAGGAAATAAAGAGGGGAAAAGAGGAAGAAGGAAGAGAAATATTAGATCTCTCTTTTCACCAAGCAACTTCTCGATCACCGCTTAGCCACCAATTGTTGCCGGACTTTCGTCGGACTTCAGCCCGACCACTAATTTATCGCCGGACTTACACCCGTCCACTGATTGTCATCAAATTTGCTCCTAACCACCATCGCCGACTATGATCTTTTTGACCCCCGTCGCCCGCCAACTACGATCCTTCCAGACACTTTCAATCGACTATGATCTTTTTGACCACTATTGCCCGTCGACTATAGTTCTTCTAACCTTCATCGTCGACAATGATATTTTTAACTACAGTGACCTTCCGATCTCCATCACCAAATAATAGTTTTTCTAACCTCTGTTGCCTGTTGACTACGATCCTTCCAACTACTGTCTCAAGACTACTATCTTTTCGACCTCTATAGCTCACCGATTATGGTTCGTCAGACCTCCATCACCTGACAATGGTATCTTCGACCTCCGTCTTTCGTCGACCACGGTCCTTCCGACCATTGTCACCCGACCCGACCACGGTCTTCACAACCTCCATCGCCTACCGACTATGGCCCTGCCGACCAAACAATTATGTCAATATTGATTCTTCCAATTCTCACTAAGTAATGCACTCTATATGATGTATATTTGCTACATCAAGGCAAGGCTTTCCCCCTAAGGAAGGGCCTCACTTGTAATCGACTAAAAATACTAGTGGATTCATTCAAACTGGGCCAAGTCTCATGGTTTTCCCCCTTTTAAGGGTCTCCACATAAAAAATTTGGTGTCTCTTATGAATGTCACACCCTTCTCTTTTATCTGATTATGTGCTGGATCTTCGTACAAATCTAAGATGTTAAACTTTATACTTCTATATTACCGTGAATATTCTAGGATGCAATAACTATAAATCTTTATATATATAACAAGATAATAAGCTGATAGTCTTTTCTTTAAATACTATGGTTTGTGATAATATCTTGTAATAGCCCAAACTCTTAACTATCGACATATTGTATGCTTTGGTCTAATAGCCTCACGATTTTATTTTGTTGGTGTAACTTTTCAGGTGTCACCATCCTAGGATTTCTCTTAGACGAGCATGCTTAATTATGAAGTTTTTTAAATGAAATTCTATTAGACTAAAAACACCTCGATGTTTAAGAGTTTAACTTCTTTTTGCTTAAGTGATTTCATAATCTTCCCATACTTAAGTAATTGACATCCTCACCAGTATCTTTATACTAAAATCATCTACCATTCAGATAAGATTCTAAAGGTGGCCCCTACAAGTTCAAGCGATGACTCTCGCCACAAAGCACTTTGTCTGGTGTAGCACTTTGCCTTGTATGTCACTTAGTTCTCATCTTCTGCTAGTGTATTGCCCTGATATTATTTGCAACAGTCTAAACTCTTAACAATCAAGATATTATCAGCTTTGACCTAATCACATAATGAGCTTATCCTATTGGTGTAACCTCCCAAGAGGTCACTTATCTCAGAATTTCTCTAGGTTGAGTACGCTTAATTATAGAGTTTCTTAATAAAATTCTAATAATTAAACCAAAAGGTGTCTCGATGTTTAAGAGTTTAGCTTCTTTTTACTTAAGCGATTTTATAATATTTAAGATTTTGATTATATATATAATTTATATATTTTATTTTGCTAGACTGATCTATATTGATAATTTTAAAGAAGGTTTAATATATTAGATATTAGATTAGAGGTAAAAGAATTAATTCTTGCAATTAAGGTCTTGGGCTTTACACCTAGTCGAGCGATAGAGGTCGAATGAACCATAGTTGAATGATGGTGGTATGAGAATTGTAATTGGTGGGTGATGGTGGTTCGAGGACCATAGTCGACTGACAGTGGTTAGAGTGACGTAGTTGGCAGGCGACTAAAGTCAAAAGAACCATACTTAGGCGACGGTGGCTCGAGGATCGTAGTTGGCAGGCAACTGAGGTTGGAATGACCTTTGTCAAGTGGCAATGATCTAAGAATTATACGTAGGTGATGATGGTTCGAGGGTGTAGTCGGTCGATGATGGTTAGTGGACTATTAATTGGGTGACAAAGGTTGTAGGGATAAATATCGGATGGTGTCGTAGGGACTATAATGGGCAATAGTGGTTACAAGGACAATAGAAGGGGCATCATGGCCCGAGGATTGCATTCGGGCAATTATGGGGTTTAAGGATTATAGTTGATGAGTGATAGAGGTTAGAAGGATCATAGTAAGGCTTCTGATGTCCAACAACGATGGTCGGGTGATGGGCTAACATCAACGATTGGCTGGCGAATATTCGACTGTAGTGGCCAGATGGAGGTTTATGGTGGAGACTTAGCAATGCGGGTGATGGGTTTTTCCCCCTTTAAGGTTTCAACATAAAAAATTTGGTGCATTTTATGAACGCTACACCCTTCTCTTTTATTTGATTATGTGTTGGTTCTTTGTATAAAGCTAAGATGTTAAACTTTATACTTCTCACCATGAATATTCTAGGATGCAATAACTATAAATCTTTATACATATAACAAGATAATAGGCTAACAAGCTTTCCTTTAAATATTATGATTTGTGGTGATATCTTGTAATAGCTCAAACTCTTAACTATCGAGATATTATATGCTTTGAACTAATGGCCTCACGATTTTATTTTGTTGGTGTAACTTTCTAGGTGTCACTATCCCGGGATTTCTCTTCTTAATTATGAAGTTTCTTAATAAAATTCTAACTATTACACTAAAAGCGCCTCGATATTTAAGAGTTTAACTTCTTTTTGCTTAAGAGATTTCATAATCTCCAATTCTTAAGTAACTGACATCCTTATCAATATCTTTATACTAAAATCATCCACCATTCATATAAGATTCTAGAGATGTCCACTACAAGTTCGAGTGGTGAATCTCACCACGTACCACTTTGTCCCATATAAGGTTCAAGAGATGACTCCTATGTTGTAGCACTTTATCTTGTATGTCACTTAGTTCATCTTCTGCTAGTATATTACCATGATATTATTTGTAACAGTCTAAAATCTTAACTATCAAGATATTATTAGCTTTGACCTAAACACCTTATGAGTTTATCCTATTGGTGTAACTTCCTAGGAGGTCACTCATCTCAGGATTTCTCTAGGATGAGCACGCTTAATTATATAGTTTCTTAATAAAATTCTAATAATTAAACCAAAAGGTGCCTCGATGTTTAAGAGTTTAGCATCTTTTTACTTAAGGAGTTTTACAATATTTAAGATTTTGATATATATATATATATATATATGATATAATAATTATACTTCAGTGATGATGGTTCGAGGGTGTAGTCGGTCGACGATGGTTATTGGGATATTAATTGGGTGACAGAGGTCGTAGGGATCGTAATTGGTTGGTGACAGAGGTCATAGGGACTGTAGTTGATGGAAGATAGTGGTTATAAGGATAATAGAAGGGACATCATGGTCCGAGGATTGCATTCAGGCGATTATGGGGTTTAAGGATTGTAGTTGATGAGTGATAGAGGTTAGAAGGATCATAATCAGGCTTTTGATGTCCAACGACGATGGTCGGGTGATGGCCTGACATCAACAATTGGATGGCGAATACTCGACGGTAGTGGCCGAATGGAGGTTTTATGGTGGAGACTTAGTGATGATGGTTGGGCAGAGGTTTGATGGTGACGATCGGGCTGTAGTTCGACATTAATGGTTAGTTGATGAATATCCGGTGGCAGTGGTCGGACGGAAGTCCAATGGCGATGGCTAGGTAGACGTCCAGGGATGATTGGTCGAAGAAAGTCTGTTGGCAAGGGTCGGGTGGAGGTCCAACGACGGTGGCTAGGTGGATATCCGACGACGATCAGCCAATGAAAATCTGATGGCAGTGGTAGGGTGGCAAGGGTTTGCTGTCGATGGTTTGGTTGGAGCTTCATGATTCTTTAACTTTCAGAACTCTCTTGAATCTTTAGCCCAAGTTCTAAGCCCTTTCTTTTGCAAAGAATACGGATCTATTTATAGATTTTTGGGAGTGATATGACCAGTAAATATGAAGAAGATGCAAAACAAATTTGAAGTGCTTCATCAGATAACCCATACTGATTCCTTCAATCATGGAGCATTTATTTAGCATTGAAGTGTCTTAATGATGTTAGAATTAACGGATCTTATCATCGTTGGATTCATCTCATCGAGCCATTCGATTCGACTGTAAGCATGCCATATTTGAAGACAATTTAGTCATCCAATTACAAATATAGATTTTCACATATGACTCAAGCCCTTAATTTGGGCTCAAATTAGACTAGTTTTTGTATCATTAAATTCATCTTAAATCTCATTTTATTATTCTTCAATACTAAAAAATATTTCAAATACTAAAAAACATTTCAAACAAATCCACGTGGCCCCACAATAATACCTCATCCACACGTAATCATACTTTCCACCTCTAACGTCACTATTCACTACACCTCACGCGTTAACAATCTTTGAAGAGTCTTCCTCCTCACCTCCACGAAGCTTCTTCAACCCCAATAGAAAAGTTATACTCAAAGAACCAGTCAGCATTCCTAAGCCAGATCTCTCTCTCTCTCTCTCTCTCTCTCTCGCTTTTATCTGCCTTTTTCTCCAATGACCAGTCAAATATTCAAAATGCTAAAACAAAAGAACCCAATTTTTCTCAGTCAAACTTCCATCTCCCCCTTAAAACCCCCATAATCACTGCTGCAATGCTTATCTAAACGTTAAGAATTCTCTTCACTTCAAAACTTCAGTTTTGGCCTCCTGTTTCAGCTTGACAAAACGGAAATGGAGAAGAGCCATAGCGAAGACTTAAAAATGCTTATTGATGTACTGAGAGAAGGCAATGGCCATGTAATGGAGCTTGAAGCACACCTTTATAACTACGAGACCTTCTCTTCTGAAACTTGTTTACTGTTATCGAGTAAACTACAATCTACATTCGCCACAGCCATCGCCATTATTAAGCTTATGGAGCAGAGGGGCTTACCGTCACCACCGCCGTCTTCGGCCACTGATAGCCCGCGAAGCCAAAGTTCTGAAAGAAGCTTTAAGGAGCAGGAGCGAAGGGAGATGTGCAAGAAGAGGTTTTTCTCATTGAGCAGATAAAGCTTACTGGTTTTGAGCTCTTAAAACAGTTTTTGAAGATAAATTTCTTGTTTGATTGATGTCTATAGGAAGAGTTTACCGAGGTGGAGCGAGCAAGTGAAAGCTTGTTCTGGTTCAGCCATGGAGATTCCATTAGATGATGGGCATAGCTGGAGGAAGTACGGGCAAAAAGACATTCTTGGAGCTAAGTTTCCCAGGTTGGTTTCTCTGTCAAGTTGTCATTAACAGAGGAAATTCATTTAGTTGATTACAATCTGGTTGGTTTCTCCGAACAAATCTCCATGGAGGTGGCAAAGTCGTTTAATTAATCATAATTTGCTTAACGAGTAATGATCAATACAAATTACTAATTATAAGAAGTCTGCTGTTTATATGTTATAACTGAACAAATCTTCAAAGCAAATCTTTACTAACTAATCTAACTTATCTTAATCACAGATCGCCAAATCATGAAATGTCCATTAATTACAAAAATTAAGAAGTTAAACTCATCATTCTGCTCTCCTAATTCACAGGTGCTACTACAGATGCACCTACCGTCACTCCCATGGCTGTGTAGCCACCAAGCAAATACAGCGCTCAGATAATAACTCCTCCTTATTTGACATCACATACAGAGGAGCTCACACCTGCAACCATGGCTTCCAGAAACCTTCTCCTCTAACTAATGAACAGATTATCCATCAAAATCAGAGCATTAAGGTGAAGACCGAAGCTCTGAGCTCAAATGAACAGAAATCAGAGTCTTCTCCTTACTTCTCTTTCCCTTTGACGCCAAAGAGCTGCTTGAAGCTTGAGAGCAATGTCTTCTCCTCTTCTTCAAATCCAGAGAACTACGAGGGTCTGGATTTGGAGATTGCAGATATTATCTGTGCTTCGAATTCGACTACAAGTTCAGAAATGTTGAAGATAGATTTTGGAGTGGAGCAGTTTGTGTTTGACAGTGAATTTTCCTTTGATTTTTATTAGTCAGAGAGGCTCTGCTGATCTGTTTCTTGCTTCAGAGTATATATAGATTGTATGGTAAGTACGATGTGATCAAATCATGTAAGACCAAAAAGGCAAAAACCTCTCTGCAATTCAAAATAGAGGGTGTTTCTCTCCTTAAAACAGTGATGGTATAAGCCTTTATTCAAGTTTCTCAGTTAAATGTATACTATAATAGAAATTGAGGGGAAAGGGGGTTTGTTTTAAAGTCTTTGCTGGAAAGAATAGGATGAAAAGAAGATGAGGCTGAAGGCAGTTTTGGAATATTAATGGTTAATCTTTTAATGGGGAGAATTTGAGTTTTGATATCCTTATTTATAGACATTAAGACTTGGTAAAATAGACATTAAGACTTGGTTTGAGACTGCTTTCTTATTGTTTCTTAAAGCAGCTTTTTAGTACAAAAATTTTAGCTGCTTTAAGAAGCAGAAAAAAAATAGTCCCAAACAAAATCTAAATTTATTTTTAGATAGGTTTAATATATATAACTAATCCATTTAAATTTGTGTTATATTAATTTTGAAATAATTATGATGGCTATAAAGTTCATTTTAATTAAATTTGATTTAGGATATTCTAACTTAGTTTTTTATTTTACTTGAATTAGGATGATTTGACCAAGTATTTTTCTATTTCAGTTGGATTAAATTAGCGATGGGCTTTAAGCCCATATCTTTTTTTAGGCATGGATGCCTTTTGCTGATGATAGTCTTCTTGTTGATAAGACGAGAGAGAATTGATGAAAAACTTAAATTATGAAGGTCAATTTTAAAGTCTAAAGATTTTTGTTTGAGCATATCTAAAACTAATTATATGGAATATAGTTTTAATAGTAATAAATTTAGTGTTGGGATTGTGACATTATATGATCAAGTCATTAAAAAGAGTGCATGGTTTTCAAATAGAACCTTAAATAGATGGGTATATTATTAGTAGAATTCAAGTTGGACGGTTGAAGTGGAGTAATGCATTGGGTCTATTGTGTGATAGAAAAGCCACTCAAACTTATGTAAAATTATATAAGATGGTGCTAAGACCTGCAATGCATTATGGTGCAGAATATTGGTCATTAAAAGTGAAGCATAAAATTAAGTTAAGTGTTGCAAAGTTGATGATGCTTAGATGGATGAGTTGCTTTACACTTAGAGACAAAATATGAAATGAGTATATATGTGAAAAAGTTGGAGTAGCTCCAGTGGTTGACAAGATTAGAGAGAGTCACCTTAGATGATTTAGTAACATAAAACACCAGGTGTTAGGAGATTATATGTATTAAATCTGTCTTATATTAAGAAAGGTAGAGGTAGACCTAAAAGATTTGATTAGAAAGTATTAAAAATGACTTTTTTTATCAGATTTAAGTGAAAATTTGACACTTAATAGGACATAATGAAAAAAAAAGATTCATGTAACCAACCCCACATAGTAGGATAAAGGCTTGTTGTTGTTGTTGTTGTGATCACCGGTTAATAATAATGCATAAAAGACAAATTTAACTTGATTTTATAATTGGTGCTCATACACATAAAGATTTACACTATCAACCCAAAGACAAAATGAGAGCATCAAGATGAGTTCATAACACTCGTGTTCAGGCACCTTAGAATTCTGGATTTAATCTCGTGTCGAATAATTGAAAAATATGTTGAAGTAGAACTATTAGGTAGTTGACCTTACCTATAGGTTTAAGTTTTTTTTTTTTTTTAATTAAATTAAAATGGGTTTGATCCTTTTGTATTTTAGGTTCAACTTTGGTTGAAGTTCTAATATGAGGTAGAAATTGGTTAAGTATATGAGGGCATTTATTTTAGTCTCCTAGCAGATTATTGAAAAATGCGTTTATATAGAAACACTATGTTATAGATTGAAACACTGTCCCAAACGAAGCCTAAAAGGGTCAATTAGATTGAGCAGCTAATTATTAGTGATTATTAAAGCTAGAAAGCCCTCATAAGACAAAAAGTTGAGTAGTTGAATATTGTCTTTGAAAATCACCGAAGAATGTAGGCTACTACTAACAAGAGGATAGGCAGACATAAGACCACAACCCACAACAACAACATAACTTTTAGGAGTCCGAAGAGGGGACACACATGAGCAAAATGCAGAAGATCCACTAGCAAGAGAAAGTGTAACACTCGCCTGGTGATTCTCAACTGCTAGAGAGACTAAGGCTTTGTTTGGGATGTATTTCTTACTGCTGCTTAAAGCAACTTTCTAGTAAAAAAAATTAATTTTTGTACTAGAAAACTGATTTAAGAAGCAGTAAGAAACCCGTTCCAAACGAACTCTAACTCTTATACTCATTTAGGTTGGCAGAGATGAGTCAAGTTGATAAGTTTTTCTATCAGTTCTTTCCTTGATAATCTATCTTTTAAAACGTTTTGTGCCTGAAATTTAAGAACAAATAATGTCGTGAATCTCACACGCTCTTTAAATTTCTACAATTTATCAAAATGTCTTCCCACAATACCTTTGCCAATATAATGCAATAGACCTAGAGTGACCTCAAAACTATACTTGAGCACAAATAGAGACAATATAAGCATTATGTATGCATTTTGCTCACTGAAAATCAAGGGAAGCACTGGTCAACTAAAAAGAAGTGTCAGAAAAAAAAGGCAGATAACATTGACCAGAATATTCAAAAGAATATTTTGAATGACTAAAGTTCAAAATTAATGTGTTTGTAAAGCTTTGCAGATCCAACAAATTATGCTGAAATAAATGCATAATCGGATTAATTATGCCAATATTAAGAATTATAGAACAAAGCACTATTTACCTACACGTGCTTTATATATTTCTTAAATATCTCATACTCCTTTGATGAACAGAAGTCTTCTATGAATCCATTTATCAAAAGAAAGCTCAAAGATCTGTAAGGCTACCCACTCTCCTCGCATATTCAACGCTGCCATCAAGTATCTGCTCCATACTATACTTGTACTTGAACCCAAGGTCAAGTAACTTGGTAGAATTGAATAGCGTGCCATTTTTATCTCCCTCAACCCTGAAACCAATTGCAATGTCTATATATATAATATGCAAGAGAAATTAAAGAAAACTTCCACCTTACTTACTCTTTGAGTACTTGAGCATTAGGAAACTTGTGCTTGTAGTAATCAACAATCTCCTGCATCACTGGCCAATGGCTAACACATATAAATCTCTGATAAATGATTTCATGCTCAATGCAGAAAATATGAGCTTCACAAACATCATCAATGTGCACCAAAGGCACTGAGCCCAACATTTCTTGAAGCAACTTTAGTCGTTTATAGGGAAGCCTCTGACCACTCAAGGGCGAAATGATAACAGAAATACTACCTGGCATATACTCAAGAATTCCATTCCCTCCAACAAGACCACAAACTAAGCTCACCATTTTTATTCTTCTTTTCCCTCTTTTTGTGTTGTAGGCTAGAAATTCCTTCTCTGTCAATGTCTTTGATCCAATATAATCCTATGTAATCCATGAACAATATTAATAACGTGATAGTGAAAATGTGAAAGAAGATAATAAGATTCAATAAATTATTATATCAATCCTCTAATATATATCATCAAAATATAATAATTTTGAGTTACAAGAATCATGCATATTTCATCATGATAATTATTTAGCATTTAAATTTAGTTTGAATACTCTATAAAAAGGAAATACTCAATATATCTTATCATAATTATTTTATTCATTTTCTCCTTGTGTTTATGACTATCTAGTGTACTAATGAATTATTAGAATGCATTGAAACCATCTGGCTATAATTTTGATGTCTTTCATATTTTTTTGAGTTCTTGGAATCAATATTTAATCAGGTTTTATGAAATTTATCCAATTATTCCCTTATCATTCCATGAAATTTCACTTATGTCCAAATGAGAAAAAATACCAATTTTCTTTTTATTACATGACATTACATGACATATATGTGACATGCAAGATTTCTCATGTAGATATTAAGCATTCAAGTTGCCAAATTACTAATTAACCTCATAGCCATAAAATTAATTCGTTTAAAGATGAAAGCTTGATTTTGCTCTTTGTGATTAAATTAGTACATTTATAATATTTATTTGTATACCCTTTTTTTTTCATTTAGATGACAAGCAAAGTGTCAATTTATACAAATATGGTGAAGTAGAATAATTTCCATGATAACCTGCCTTTATGTTTCAATAACAAAAGCAACATCAAGCCTTTATGTGGGGTAAGCTACGTGAATCTTTTTTCTCAATTTAGTCCTCTTAAGAGTCATTTTAAACACAACCAAATATTACCGACGTAAAAAAATGATGGAAATACTTCCACCGGAAAATCCGTCGGCGAAAGCCCTATTTCAAACTCGAGCCCGTCTGGCTTATTATTTCATTCCGCCAATTGGTTTTGGATCTCCGCTCGCCTCCGTCGCCCTAGCGTTTCCCCACCGAAGCTCGCCGCTGCCAAGCCTTCCGGACTTCCACGAGAGTTCGCCGACGCTCACCGCCTCTGTCACCGGCGAAACGCCACAGTTTTCGGAAAATCCATCGTAAGGTTCATAATTTTCAGTTGATTTTCTTAGTTTAAATTTGCATAGAATGATAAGGAGCTTGTTTTATACGTGATAAGGTTGGAGTAGCTCCACCGCTGTGAAGACCATTCAACCTAGTTTGCCAATGTTCGCCGCCTCAGTCGCCTATTTCGTCCACCGTAAGATTTTATTTTTTTCTTGTATTTTTTCATTAGACATTTGCAAGAGGATGTGCCTTGGTTTATGCTTTTGCTGATGATATTATTCATGTTGATAAAGTAAGGAAAAAGAGATGAAGTACTCATGGTTTAAAATTGCGCAATATGAGGCTCACCTTGAGGCCCGCCTTTGCGCAATTCCAGTAAAAAATGACTCGATGCTTACACCTCGAGTTTTTATTATGAGGCTTGCGCCTCAACTTGGTTGAGACCCGCCTCGCCTCACTGGCATGAGGCTTACGCCTCACGCTATATATATTAAAACTTACATAAATCTTGAAGTAAATGCTCGACATTGGACTCTATAGGAGAGGGGAAGGGGAGAGAGCAGTTCATCATAATGATGATTCAAATGAAGAACCCCTTAGTGATGACATTGCTGATGATTTATGAGTTCTTATGTGATATGTCATTGTTATTTATTTTTAGAAATTGGAATTATATGTTAATGAAGAATATTGGGATTTGGGAATGATAGAATTTTGAGTTGAACTATATTTCATGTTGTATTATTATTGAGATATTTTGATTTCACTTCATATCTTATGATTTTTTATGTTTTATATTATTCACTCATTAGTATTTAAAAAATTTATAATTTTATGTTTACGCAATCTTTTGATTTTAATTTTATGTTTATGCAATCTTTTGATTTTGAGGCTTACGCCTCAAAACACCTTGAGGCTTACGCCTCGCCTCACGAATGAAAAACGCCTCAATACCCAAATACGCAATTTTAAACATTGGAAGTACTAAACCTAGTGAGGGGATTGTGACTTTGGACAAGCAAGTTATTAATAAGAGTACATGTTTTAGATCTATTGTTCATAGTGTTGCAGAGATGAGGATATTTAGGTGGATGAGTGGCTTTACCCTTATAGATAGTTCTGAAATGAGCATATACGTGATAAGGTTGGAGTAGCTCCATTAGAAGATAAGATTAGAGGAAAAACATTTTAGATATTCCAAAAATCTTTATAACGGTGAAGGAAATGTCTAATGATGTGATGTGATGTTTGGAGCCTCGTATTTGGTCACATAAAACGACGATAATTATAGGGAAAATATAATTAAGCGTTTGTGGTTAGAAGGAGAATAGAATGGCGATGGAAGTCAGAAGGATCGTAGTCAAGTTGTCAAGTTGCCAACTATTATCATCTCCTTACATTATCATCTCCTTACATTATCTAACAGCTATTGCTCGACTTACGTCCACCAATAATTTTTATCTGACCATTATTACAAAATTATTATAATCCATTAATTATCTGCTCCATATTATATGTAGGTGAACATTTTCATTTAGACAGCGAAACAACTATCCAGCTTCATATCAGATGGAATGTTTCGATGTCCATGTTCTAAATATAAAAATCTAGTGCATCTAAGACCATATGATGTAATTGTTGATCTGTATTGTAGATGGTTCATGCCACAGTATTGGTATTGGACTTCTCATGATGAGTATGAGTTACATTTTGATTCTCAATGCAGTCCATCTATAAATAGTAATATAGCCGAGGATGAAAATATCTGACTAAATCTTGAGGAGTTAGTTCATGATGCAACTTGAATACAATCTGAACAATATACAAAAGAGTTACTAAATAATGAGGCATAAAATTTTTATGATTTGTTGCATGCTGCCCAACAATCAATATGGAAGGGGTGCACCACCCACTCAAAGTTATCTGTTGCTGTGAAGATGTTAAGCATCAAGGCTGAATATAATGTTGCTCATAAATGTTTTAATCAATTCATTGGGCTGCTTAAGGAAATCAACCCGACATATATTTTTTATTTTATGTCTAAATAAATTGCTTTAATTTTTATTAATTTTCACAGGAGGAATATACACGATTTCGAGAGAGTCAGGCCGCAGTAGGCAATGGTTCTTCTGGTGGCTCTATAGAGTATTTTGAGTACCGCATCTGGTCGCAAGCCATAGGAGGAATGCAACATGGCAGGGTTTATGGTTTAGGTTTGCAAACTCAGGCATACGAGGGGATGACCTCTACTGGATCTAGCTTCACAGCAAGTTCACATGAGTCCTTACATAGTCAACATATAACTGCCCTTTAAGCTGAGCTAGAACAAGAAAATCACAAGTTGATTGGCAAGTGCAGTTGCAGTCATAGATACAGATGCAGATGCATATGCAGGAGCAACACAATCAGTTGTTGGATGAAATGCGCAGAATGAGGAACCAATTGAGTGAAAAAGAGGTAGCTTCAGCTGAGGATGAGTCGACTGATATATAATAGTTGTTTAGTTTTTTTCAGTTTCATATGAACTTTTATTAGTTTCTGAATATTTGGTGAATTTTATGATGTTAATGAATAATTTGTGATGTTTTAGAATATTTGTTGATGTTAATGAATAATTTGTAATGTTTATGTTTATATTTTTGAGTATTTGTTGAAGTTGTTGAAATCTGTGCTGTGAAAATCTGTGTTGTTGAGTAGTTTTTGCTAATTAGTGTTGGAAATATTTAAAATTTGTGCTGAAAATATTTGTAATTATTTGTAGGTGTGGAAAACTGATTGCTGCCTGAGAAGGTAAATTTTTTTTATTACAGGTTTCTGAAGGATAACACGCCGGTACTCTGCCGGAAATGACGATACAACGAATTTCATTATCATTTCTGGCGTCTTTATTACGCCGGTATTTCCGGCGGATACAGCGTCGGTTACCTCTGTCGTTTACATGTCGACGTATTTATCGACGTTTTTTTTTTTCGTCGGCATTTCCGACGAAAATATATGCCGATAATTCCAGCATATTTAACGCCGGAATAAGCTAATTCAAATCGACGTAACTAGCACATACCCACTTTACTGTCGGGCAGGGCAGGAGCTCTGGTGGGTTTTCCTGTAGTGCAGGCAGGCAGGGTTGGTAACACGGGAGCTCGAGCGGCAGCCAGGCATGGCGGGAGCTCTGGCGGGCAGCGCGGGAAGGCCTCCTGGCGGGCAGCCGGGCATGGCGGGTGGCCAGGAAGCTTCTTTTTTTAATTAATTTTTCTTTATTTTCTGGCGGCCTTTATCTGTCGGAAATATTTGCCGCCAAAAATATTTTTCCTTAGCGTGTTTTATCGGCGAAAAATTTGACGCTGGAAAATGACTAGTTACTGCCAAAAAATGGCGTCGGTAATAGTTAGTTTTCCTGTAGTGTTACAAATAATGCATAAATTTTAATTTCACTCTTGCAATCAACATTTCCTAATATATTTTACAGTACATTTTTATTGCATACTAAAATATTCATGACAGTAAAGAGAGAATTTTACAATTTTGTATTTTGTATAAAGATTCCATACATACAGTCAATGTTTAAAATTGCGTATTCGGGTATTGAGGCGTTTTTCATTCGTGAGGCGAGGCGTAAGCCTCAAGGCGTTTTGAGCGTTAAGGCTCATGCCAGTGAGGCGAGGTGGGCCTCAAGGCGGGCCTCAACCAAGTTGAGGCGCAAGCCTCATAAAAAAAACTCGAGGCTTAAGCATCGAGGCGTTTTTTACTGGAATTGTGCAAAGGCGAGCCTCATATTGCGCAATTTTAAACCATGCATACAGTTGAAAAAAATCACTATAGTTTTTATGTGGTAAACTCATATAGGGGAAAGCTATAAACCTGACCCAGCTTAAATATTTTACTATACGAGGTTACAAAAGTTTGATCCTTCTCTCAATTAGAGAAAATGATATTATAATGTACAAAACACTAGTTTGACTTCCTATGAATGTAATAGAGAATACTAGATAGACAGTGAAATGTGATGACCACAACCTATAGCTAATACTGGAAATTGTTGATTACAATCTGGCAATACCTGTGAGGCAATGATAGTTAGGTGATAATAATCATGTGATGGTGTTCATACAATGATAGTTGGGAAATAGCAGTTAGACAACAACGGTCAAACAATTACTAGTAGTGATTATCAGCGTCAAGCACAATCACTGAGCAAAGCTCTAGAGCTCTTTAGATTTTTTGACCCTTTTTAAATTTAGATCCCTTTCATGTTGAGGATGAGAGCATATTTATAATTTTCCTTAATGAGATGTGGGATATTTTGATGTAATTTTAGCCAAAAATCCCTAAATATTCCAAGAAGGCTAGTGTTGATTTACTTTAACATAGATTGTTCCTAAGGTATTTAAGTGCCCTAACGTCATGAAAATAGAGTGATCTGGAGCTTGTTAGCTTCATCTCATCGAAACACTCGTTTCAATTATAAGTACTCAAGATTTGGAGATCATTTGGTCTCTCATATTTTTTAATTCTTCTTAAAATGTTTGAATTAACCTCATTTGGACTTGAGTCAGAGCACTTTTAGCATTGGGGTTATCTCATCAAAACATTTATTTCAATAATAAATTAGTTGAAATCAAAATTCGAATGATTCTGAATTTTAATTCCTAAATATTTCAATTCAAATATCACATAAAAATTTATGCTTGATTAAATGAATTTTGTGGTGGCATGAATCTTAATGATTAAATAGCCCATAATGCAATTAAAGTAGAAATCTACTAATAAAGAAAAACAATAAAATCAGGGGGAGTTTAACATATATGAACCTGCTCGAATTTCTGAGCATGAGCAAAGGGACAATGGAGGGGAGTCCAACAGGATTCATCAATGAGATTTTTGAAGCTAAAATCGTCTTCCTTTCTTGGAGAAGCAGACATAATTGAAGCTGTGTATATGACTCGTTTAACTGACTCAGATCTCTCACAGACTCCCATTATAATATGCATAGCAGCCAATGAAGCCTCTGTTGTGTCCTTGTACTACAAAAAAAATTTGCAAAAAATTATTTACATATCTGTCATTTCGCAAAAATTTCACAGACTAAGATCTCTCACAAACTCCCCTTATCATTATCTCCAAGATTATATTTTATTCTTTAATTTAAATTGATTGTTTTGCAATTTATTCAAAATATAAACAAATATAACAGACAAAATATAAATCCATGTGTTATAATGGTAAAAAAGCATGAGCTAATATTTATATGAAATGTGAACAAGAAGGCATTAGAAACATTGGGAAAATATAAATATTTATTTTTCAAAAACACATAAGTATTTTCAATTTAAATAAAAGCCATGCAATTATTTCTTCTCATTCTCTAAACCACCAATTTTGATAAAGGCAAAATATAAATATATAAAAGATTTGAAGATCATTTGATCCCATAAAGAGTGAAATAAAATTTTCAACTGCACATTAAGTGTCCGACTTGGGTCTATTTTTACTCGAATCAGAACACTTTTAGAGTGGCAAAGACCAAAATCAATCAATCTAAAGGTTTGTTTGGGACAGCTGTAACGTTTTACAAAATTGATTGTGAAGTTGGAGTGAGAAAAGTAAATCGGCCACTCTAGTTGCAAAAAGCAGCTTTCCACTACAAAAATTGTTTGAAAAACAATGAGTAAATAACAAAAAAGCATAAGGCAAACAAAAGTATGATTGCTTTATGAAAAGATAGAGGGAGAAAAAAAAAGGTGTCCTAGATCCTAAATTACAAACCATCAGACTCTGTTGAAAACGACTAAGCCAATTATTTATGAAATATGGAAGAATTCAGGTATCAATTTAAATATTTGATGGACAACAAAAAATTTACATTATTTGGAAGAAAATAAAATTTAGTTATTTTGTTGAAATTTTCTCTGTAACAGTGTCTATCATTTCAATCTTTCTATTATTCTCTAACACCTTGTCTCTGATGAAATCCTATCTCCTTTTTGTCGTCTCAAAGACCTCATCATCTTAGGAAGAGCCATTTAAAACCTTTAGAAATTCATCCTCCCCTCTTCAAGTTTCCAGTTTTCAATTCTCAAAGCTGTGTAAATTAAGCATCTTCAAACTACAGTAATTTTGATTCAAACTCGAAGAATAGCGCACGGATTTATAATCGTGTAAGCAGGGAAATTTCAATAGCTTTTGTAAACATTAATCAATTTTCAAGATGATGGATTTTATTGAATCTTCGTATGTCCTTTCTAAAGTTATCAGACAACAAAGTCATTTAGATAGAAAATATCTAACAAAGAGGAATGGAAGCTGAGAAGATCTGATAAAATAAAGGCATCGATTTTTCAAATGAGCACAAAAATAAAAACGCAGAAACAATGAAAGAAAGAACGATGCCTGAGAGTTAGGGTTGAGAAGGTAAGTCGAGGCGAGGAGAAAGACAAAATCGCTGCCATTGATAGCCAACTCGAACTTCTCCGCATCATATAAGTCTGCCTCAAATAATCTCAACCTCTCATCTGCTCCTTCCAGTTTCTTCAAAAGCTGGACCTTCGATTCATCCCCTAAAATTTAAAAATTAAAGCTTCAAAAGAAAGAAAGAAAGAAAGAAATGGCAACTGATCTGTGCAGATAAGAAATTATATTGCCTAAATTTCTGAGAGTGGCATGAACAATGTATCCCCTATGCAAGAGCTTCTGAACAAGCCATGAACCGATGTAGCTTGTAGCTCCAGTTACACAGACAGTACCCAGCTTCTCCATTAGCAAAGCTCGCGAACAGCAGAGAAGCTTCTGCCTTTAGTTGATAAGCTGCTAAAGCAGCTCCATTTAATGGAGGAAATTTTAAAAATAGATTACCTTTAAATTTAAATTTGAAAAAACATGAGGGGACTAGGAGAGTGTTTTTTTCTTTTAAAAAAATAGATTTCGTGACCGCCACGTGCAGCGATTTTGCCCTGGACATTGCATAAATCGCCACCTAGTGACAGATAGACACGGGATAGACTTATCTTTCAGAGGTGAATCAGGTGCAGTCACGTCTTTCAGTACCGAGCTCGGTACTGAACAGTATCGAGTTAGGTATCAAACAGTAACGAGCCGCAGTACCGAGTAAGAGGTGACGTGGCGCATTTTCATTGGGTTTTGAACGCATTCGATGTCCGCACAGAATAATTTGCCTAGTGGCATGGCCGCCACATGGCAGAAATCGCTTGCCAAGTGGAAACTTCCATGAATATTTTGAGATACCCGTTGGCTATCTTTTGGGAACATTTAAAATAAAGTAGGAGCTCAGTTTTTTTGAATGAAGGTATATTTACATTAATGATTAGTTTTAAGCTCCTATATATTTGCTTTAGTCATGTGTATTATTACTAGACATTTGCAAAGGATGTACTATGGTGTATGCTTTTTGCTGATGATATTCTTCTTGTTGATAAAACTTCAAAGAGAGTTGAAAGAATATTTGAATTATGGAGATCAAATTTAGAGTTAAAGGTTTTTGTTCGAGTAGATCTAAAATTGAGTACATATAGTGTAATTTTAACATATAGATCTATTAGTGGGATTGTGATATTGGGTGATCAATTCATTAATAAGAGTGCACATTTTAGATATCTCAAGTCTATTATTCAAAGCAATTGTGAAATAGATGGAGATATTATGAGTAGAATTCAAGTTGGATGGCTGAAGTGAAGGATTCATTGAGTCTGTTGTGTGAGAGAATAATACCACTAACCTTTAAGGAAAACTTTTATAAGATTATGATTAGACCTATAATGTTTTATGTCTTAGAATGTTGCAGAGATGAAGATGCTCAAGTGGATGAGTGGTTTTACATTCAGAGACAAAATGAGAAATAACCATATACCTAAAAAGTGTTGTAATTATTTTCAAAATGAAAAAGTGTCGGAAAATAATAACTTTCCTTAAAGCATTTTTTTTGTAGAAAAATAATATTTATTCATAAAGCATGAAAACTAATTATAATTAAAAGTTTATAATTATATCCTTGAACATATAATTAAGCTAAACTTCAATGATTATTAATCAATTCCTCCACCGATTTCTACTAATAAGTCATCTAAAACAAATATTTTTTTTGCTTTAGTTTGTTTCACCCAAATGAAGAGCAACAATGTGGAGATTATACATAGTAAAAAAAAATAAAAATTTTATTATAGAATATATCTTTAAGATGTCATAGGCGTAGAGTCATGTAAAAACAATTATTTGAACCTATTTTATAGGAAACCTAAAGATTAGCCCAAGATTAATAAGCTATGATTGACATGTGTATTTTCTTCATAAAATTCAACTGAGCTTATAGTAAGATGACCATAAGTATAACTCATTCAATGGTTATATTCAACAATATACTAACCATTTTGGATGAGCTCGCCCCATGTATGTCGGGGGACGAAGTCGCCAATTTATGTATCACAACAAATGATATAATAAGGGATTTGAAGGAGATAATTCTAATAGAGGCTACATTTAATGTATCAAACTACACGTTAAACCTTATTTGTCTCCTTCCCATTAATGATTCATTGTGAGACATGAGGAGGATGGTGAGTGCCAGAATTAAAAAAAAAAAATTATGGGCTTTTGTGGTGGTTTCACCCGCCACAATAGTGCAGAAATGTGGCGGTTTTAATCGTCACAATCCTGTAGATCGTTTATTTTTTTCATATCTAGGTGCGGTTATGATTGCTGCAATTCTAGAATATTATAACGGGTAATACCACTGCTATGTTCAGCATTCCTCAGTACTACCCCGCCAATCGTGAAATCGCCGCGGAATGTCTTTGCAGCGTATTGTAATTACAGTGGACATCCAGCGGTCATAAAACCGCTACAAAAATATTTGTGGCGGGTAAAACCGTCGGGAAAAGTTGAAATTTGTACTACAAAAGTCTGATTTTTTAATAGTGAGCTGGGCCCCTTCGATAATGAATAAAGTCAGTACTGTTACACCGTAGAAGAGTGGGATGATAATGTTCATTTTATTGGCTCGATAGAGCATTCCACTACGACTCAAGAAAACTTCATACCTCATGAACTCATGGAAGACATGTTAGTAGATGATCTATTATAAACAATGCAGATTATAAGATGATTTACTCCAATAAAACTTGATTAACAATAGCTAGTGTCCATGAAGATAATCCTTCCATGACTACGCACATAAAGTAGAAAGAGATTAGGAGAAGCATGTAGAATTTCTAACATATATACACCTCCTATTTTCGTATGTTCTATTATGCACAATGGTAATCGACGATGAACCTCTTGGTTCATTTTACTTTTCATACTCCGGAGCATTCAACAACAACTTGACATGAAACCTAAGGAGACAATAATACATATAGAAGCTAAATTCAATATTAAGGTCTCATACACAAAAACATGGTATGTTAGATGGAAGGCGCTAAAGTAAGCATTCAAAAGTTGAGAGGACTCATACTGCTCCATGTACAGGTTTATGGACGTAGCTAGGGGTGTCAATATTTGACCCGACCTGAACTCGGCTAGAAAATTTTAGATTCGGGTCAACCTAAACCCAAAGCAGGTCGGGTTCGAGTTAGGGATTTCGACCAGTTTGTAAAATTGGGTTGGATTCTGGTTGACCCGGAAACCCAAAATCAACCCGGTTTGACCCATTTTTAATTAATTTAGAAGAGTTTTAAAAGATTGTTATGAAATAAGTAATGATATTTCTAAAAAATAATAAACATTGTTGCCCAAATTAAATTAAGCTTGATTTATTTTAAATTGATTGAAGTAAATCTTATCTTAATTTAATTTAGGTTTAAATAAATTGAATTAAATAAAAAAATTTACTAAAAATACCCGTAGAGGGTCGGGTTCGGTTGACCTGGACCCAAAGCGGGTCAGGTTCGGGTTCGAAAAATTGACCCGTTTGCAAAAATGGGTCTGGTCGAACAATGTCAGGTCAGTTTCGGGTTGGACCTGAACCCGCGCGACACGTGACCCGATTTTGACAGCCCTAAATACAACGTGTTTTGCTATTTATGGATTTGTGTGCATAATTCATAGTGGACTTTCAAATTGATTTCAATGATTATTCTAGGCATGTAGACCATCTATCATGGGTTGGAGTTATTGTCATTTGATTTTGAGCATGGATGGGACCTTCCTTCTAGGAAAATATATTGGTACATTACTTAGTGCAATTGTTATTAATGCTAACAATAACCTATTTCCTTTAGCTTTTGTAATCATTGAGTCAGAATGCAACAAGTCATGGTGCAACAAGTCATGGTGGTGGTTCCTAACAGTTCTTTGTGTGGCTATTCTAGAAATTCATGTGAATCATGATTTATGCATAATCTTTAATCGCCATGTTGGGCTAGAAGCGAGTGTATAGACATAATTCTTTGGGTTGTGTACATGCATTGCCTTAGACATTTGCATGAAAATTTTAAGAAAGCTTTGAGGAGAATAGCTATATCTGATGTTAGATGATATGACAAAAAATGTATTGGGCAGGGAGCTTGGAACAATATGAATGTCTTCAAGATATGCAAGCGAGAGAGATCTTATAAAGTGGGCACTCCTACATGATTTGGATTTTAGGTATGACACAATGACAAAAAAATGCATTCGAGTGCTTCAATGGTGTCCTTAAATATGCAAGAGGTTTTTTTTATTCAAGTTCTTGTCTATTCAATTTATTATAAGCTTGTCGCTTTTTTTTTACTATATGTAATAACTCGAAAATACAAAAAGTGTTAAAAAATGAATTCCTATTTGAACTAAAGTGCTTCAGTGATGTGCTTTTGAGCGCTATGGCATTAAGCTGGAGAGCGTAGTGGAGCAAGAAAATATCACCGTGACATTGGAGTATCAATTCTACATTAATTCAGGATTCAACATGCAGCGCTATGTCTGAGCACTACAACACTAGTCCCCTAATCATGTGAAACCCTTAAAAAAGTTTTTTTTTTTTTATTTATTGTTTGTCTCGAGGTAAGTCACATTATGCCAATATCAATTTTTAAAAATATATAATTTTAAGCCAATTTTTCTATTAAAAGTTTGCATCGGTTAGCAAAAATGTGGATAACTTTGCACTAATAAAACTTTCATATTATAATTTTTATAAGTTATTTAGATTACGATTATGCACATTTTAAATATTTTTTAGAGATTTTACAATGTGAGTTTTGAAATTTGTAAAATTTTTATTAAATAGAAAATTATATAGATATTGAAAAATAGTGATGTAGTATAATAAAAGTTTTAAAATATTATTTTACACAATTTTTGATAATTTAATAATTTTTAAAAATGTATATTTTTGCATAGTAGGATTTTCTGTTGTCTATTGTTATACAATATTATGCAAATTTTATACATGCTCAATTCATCTTTAATTTATATAATGTGTTTATATATGTGCATATGTGATTAAATTATATCTGTTGGGTGCTTTTTTTTCTGTTAAAACCCACGGATGAGCCTGTGCGTTAATACAAAAAAGAATTACAAGGTCCTTAAAAGGAACCTTCAGCTCACTAATGCTCAAAGGATCTACAAAATAAAGCAAAATAAAATCTAATAACCGGTGGTTCCTTATACTAATAGTTACAAAAATATCTAAGAACATACTAGGGTTGCAAGGAGACAACACCTAAAAAAGGAAGAGCAAGAGATCAAAATTCAGCACGAACTTCCTGCAAAAACTATGGACCGAGCCATAGATAACAAAATTGGCTTGTGCGTTCGAAGAGTCAATAGAAGTAAAAAACCACCCAACATACCTACATAAAAAAAGCTTACAGACTAAAAGAGTCAGATTGCAGATAAAAATATAAAATAACACCAAAAA